CTTGTTGTTCGTGACCGAAAGCCTATACTTTTCAAATACATCGATAAATCGGGCTCTAAAGTAGGAACCCTCCTTCGCATCCACCATGATATCCATGTGCGTGAGATCGGTAGAGTTAAATTATTGCTTTCAGTATAAATCACTCCAGGCTGGTACTTGGGTGTAGCCATATTGAATTATTATGAAAAACAAAGCGCCTTTGAGCAGCTGAGCGGAGCTGGATATCGGCGCTATACAAATGTATATATGATGATATTATAATTACACATATATATATTTTCAATATGTACGTCACGCTCCCGGGAATCACGAACGGCGAACCCATTCCGCTGCTGCAAGTGATTGATAACACGTCGGGGGAACTCGAAGTCGCGCTCTGCGATCTCACCTACTACCTGCGAAGGTTGAATTTCAGCGCTAAGAGAAACAACAACAAGCTGTTTATCAATAATAGCCGCCACCTGTTGACCGCCGGTTATTATAACGTGTGTATGCTGGACGACGAAATTTTAAAAACCGTCGGAGCAAGTCTTAAACTCAACGAGTCGGATGGCACGCTCAAGTTGATGAACGGAGACCAACCCATCAAACTGGGTCGACCCTTGGCGAGAACATTCGGGTTGGCGACTTACGAGATAGCACTGCGAGACACCGTCATGGGCTCAAAATTGCCGAGCCTCGTCCCCTACCGCGAACTGTGCATTCACCTCGATCAGCTGAGCACGACGGACAACGTTCAAGGCGAACGACCTTCCACGCTGCTGAGAGCCGTAACGTTGAATACGGAAAAGTACAACAACGGCAGAACCGAATCATTTTCGACCTTGCAGTACAAGAAATTAACGCGAGGCAACATCACGGAATTGAAACTATCAGTTTTAGATTTACAACATTAACCCGTTCATATAGGATACCTGAGCGTGACGCTGCACATCAAACAACGATGACTGAAGCTTCAGGTCCAGGAACGACCATGCGACCGAGACAATACGCCAACCTAGTGATCTCCGACCTCGGGGACACGCGTGGCTTCGGAGAGCCCGGCGTCGACGGCAGACTGTACGCCTTGCAACATAAAAACAATATTTATAAACCCGTTGAAGTGAGCGGCGGATCTGGTGGTATCCTAGGAGATTTAGACGATGTCGAGACAGGAGGTCTCTTAAAAAACAAGCAGTACAACCTCGTTCGCAACGCCAATAACACATGGGTGATGGATACGGCCTTTGGCGGCAAACTCTTCGACCTGGACGACATTGAGAAGACGGTCATCGGTTGAAACAAGCCGTACACGCCAGTCTTTACCAACGACAAGCGATGGGTTTTCGTGCCCTCTCGAATTGACTGGAATCTCAACATCGCGCTAGACTCTCCCCACCTGTTCACGGAAAACAACGACCACCACCTCACGAAAGTCGTGAACAACGGAGCGCTGATCGTGGCTTATGTCCCGACACAAAGACGCAGCATAGTCGTCAGCACGCTGTCGCAACCTATAGCTTACATCCTATCGAGTAAACCTGAGACGTCAAACGTGACGTTGCAGTTAGCGTCGGAATTCGACAGCGTGGTCGACATCCTGCAAAATCTGCCGGCGCAATCCACGCTGATCATCCAAGTCTACCTCGGCGAACCACGGGTTGGTAACGTCGAAATCGTAAAAGGCATCAAACTCCAGTGGACCCAACAACACCAACACCACGTTTGCTCCGTTTGCTCCGTCACCGTGGAAAACACGATATCGCCCACGAAAATTTCCTACACGATAACATACTTCTCATGGGTTTGAAATGTACGGACGAAAAATTATCCGAAAACCAATTAAAATATCTCTACCGTATATTACCGTCTAAAAGCCGAATTTTGAGGACCCCAAAAAGCAGTCTGTAGAAGGGGGTCGTCTTATCCATGGGTTACGCTTTCGTCAAACTTTTCCAGGGGTAAGAAAACAATATCGTATCACTTCGCGTGAACAAACAACAGAAGACGACTTTGTCAGTAGACACGTCAAATTTGCAATTAAACATCCCTGGACAAGATTATTTACCTTTTAAGTTCCAAGTTATTTTTGCTGGGCATTGTATTATTTGCAGGGATTAAGATTACCGTGTGTATCTGAGCCGGAAATAGCAATCAGCTGTGCACATGTTTCCCGGCGATCAAGTTCAAACATGCACAATAATATAACGGGACGAATTCTGACGCAGTCATCAGTAGAATATAATACAGAATACTATTATTTAACCCAAAGAAATATATCCTAGCATTGTGTAATTTTAATTACAGATTTTGCTCTATAAATTAATTAAGATTAAGATTACCGTGTGTATTTGAGCCGGGAAATAGCAATCATCAGCGAACAAGTTCAAACATGCACAATAATATAACGGGATGAATTCTGACGCAGTCGTCAGTAAAATATAATACAGAGTACTATTATTTAACCCAAAGAAATATAACCTAGCATTGTGTAATTTTAATTACAGTTTTTATGTAAAATATATATAATCAAAACTAAGGTTATATGAACATGGTAAGCAGAAGTTGTACGCACATGGAATGGCGTAAAATACGGAAGCCATTTATTTTCACACCTTTTTACCGATGTTACTGTAAACTAGCAGTCAATGGAAAACAAGGTGGTAATCAGTTCGTGATTGTTGAATGGGGTAAAATAAGCAAGCCAGTTTGTTGCTACAATAAATATGATATTTAGAGAAACAAAATATATTATGCATTTTCAGTCAACTACACTTTGTTTCGATCCGTGAGTAGATGCAATATATATGATTGTGAATTCTTTGAATAATGTGGACCAAAGTTATAATTATTGGTAACTGCCAGTTGTCTGTGGTCTGTGTTTGCTGCGATTAGGACCCAATCGCGGGGGATTGGCTTATGCACGAAACATACCATTTTGAAAGTGATTTTAAGGGTCAAGTTTGGGGGTCGTCTTATCCATGGGGTCGGCTTATAGACGGTAACATACGGTAATATATATCATGAGTGTCATTGCAAACGTGACTCAGCAAGCCACCATCGCGTTCTCAGATCTTGGGGACATGCGAGGATTTGACGAACCCGGTACGGAAAACGCCTTGTGCGTCCTGCACTTACAAAACAACGTGGACCAGCGTCGAGAAGTCATCATCGAATTGAACTGGATCATCAATATCGTCCTGACCTACCACTATCTCGTCATGGATCAGGATCGTAATATCCTCGAACTAAAAAACAATTGGATTCTACTGGGAAGTTTTATTCCGTTTCATTAAAAGGGAATGTACGCACCACCATTACCAGATCAAACGGGTTATATGCTAGTCCCTCACTCGGAAGACACAACGAAATGGCTCTATTTAAAACTATATAGTGATACCAGGTTCTACCTTATTATCGACGTCGTTCTTGGAAATGCCTCCGGACAACAGGTGGGACTTCTGTCTTGGTTAAACATACGCTGGCACGATTGCCATAAAAATCAACACTGTCATATTTATGTACAACTAGGAACAGCTTCCACCACAAGCCTCGAGAGAGTCAAGGTTTTTATTGGAGATGAAATTTTATTCAACCAGATTTATGCACCCGAACATGTGTAAAGTATATTCATCAACGACTGACGGAGGACCAATTAAATATTATTTCGTAAACTATATATATATATAGTGCAAGATGGGATTGTATCAAGCCATGGTCGACGTGGCTCAAACGCTCGAAACTGTGGATGGATTTCGTTTGTGACAGATCAGCGACATCAAACACCAACAGGAACGAGAACGCGACATGCGATTCAGATTGCACAAAATGTACCATTGGGCTGTCAATGCCATCGACAGCGTGGACACATCTCTCGTGGTCGCTGGCATGGGACTCGGGGGTGCCGACATCGGCTTATTATCCACCATCGTGGCAACTCTGTTACCGAGGTTCGAAGCCTACCATTCGGAAAAACCCACGGGAGAAATACCAGCGCACCACAAACATCATCAGACCAGGGACCAGGCGGGTCTCTGATCAAAACACACAATTTCTCCCTCCGTGGGTCTGGCCACAGAGGGCTTTTGCTATTCTTTTATTTGAACTTGCACATCGAAGGATGGCTCTCCATATTCTTTTAAGGGGGCTGGGGGGCTTAATTCCCACAAATAAGCCTTTAAGCCGCATCTGCGGTAGTACCCCCCCTCTATTACTACTCAGTGACCAAAATTAAGAATCTTTGCACAGAGCTAACTAGCGCGCTGTTCTTTTGATGTGTCTGCCCCCCCTACGTAAAGACGAAAGTTACCAGAAAAAACAAATGATAACAGTTTGATGACGGTTTACGTTCCGATTAAATACCTTCTCTAAATTATCTTAATTACATCTATGATTAACGTAAACCATATGGGGCAATATGAACGTCGCATTTCTACTACCAACGTAAGTTAAGATCAGTACATCCAGATGAAGCTGAGTACTCAAGCGACATTCCACGATTGCATTGTGAGAATGTAAACATTGCGAACGTTACCGAGCCGCTGAAAACTTGTGAGTCGAATTGAGACATTTTAACCGTCGGAAAACATAAATGTAATGATTCCACCAGTGATGTTAGCTGCGTGAAACCAAGAAACGGGATGCAACGGAGTAGTTTACTGTAGGAGGCCGTACGAAGCGATGACAACTGACATGCATCGTGGCGTCGCTTACAGTGTGACGTAACGCAAAATTGTTCTATTACGAGGGGCAGACTAGAATGGGGCGAGTGATGCCAATACATTGTGACGTAATGCTGAAAAAGTGCACATTATCGTCTGATAAAGTACTGTCGGCGCCTTTGATCTTTCATCGAAGCATCTTAGAATGTAGATTAATACATCCAGACTGAGGATATACATGTGTAGTGATATGGATGAATGAAAATAAATATGTGTGGACCAGACAAACCTGTGATTCACTTTGTGACATCTAGGTCCTACCTTAATATATTTTACATAGTGTCACTGTCTGCAACTCACCTTGAGGACGACTGCAGCAAAGAACTGATCTTGCAATATGTGTTTAGGAAGGTCATAGCCCTTACCCAAGTCAATGCCTGTAACAAAACATTTCTTGGTCATTTTAACAATTTTACCCATAACTTTTACTCATGCTGTCTTGCAATTAGCCCTAACACTATTACAAGTAAGGGCTACATGTGCTTACTAAAACAATGCTAAATAGATATAATGTTTTGCAAATAGAGATCATGTTTTGTGTCAATGAAAAGAATATTTACAAGCTAATAATCAAACGACAAAACTAGTATATTAGCACTGCCACACACCTCGCTACACAGACAACATTAAATCAACAGAGACAGCCACTGAACAACACTTCATAGAGCAATGATATTCAAACATGTTCTGCATAAATGTGGTGGTCCTGTGCATAAAGCTCAGGTCATAAGTCAGTTGAAGTTATAAAACAATGAGTGCGGAGAGTCCTTGGATGGGTGACCATGTTTAGCAGCTTGACTCTTGAGAGTTTCTAGGACTTCAGTCCTGCCCCACAACAAACACATGTGATACATGTGGTCTTACCTTAGGCTCAAAATTGCCCCTGTTCACCCAGCAGAAAATGGGTACCTGGTGGGATAAGTCATATGACTATAACCTTCCAGCGCCTAACAGGCAGCTTGGGTTATCCGGGATAATAATGTTGTGGTGTTTGTGCGCGCTCTCAGCATGCCCCTTTGTGGTGAGGAGTATTGTGTGGTATAGGTACCCTTATTATTATTATTATTAATGCTAACTAATACATAAATTCTGATGGTTATGTCATGACACTTCTTAAGTCTGGCATTATCAAAAAAAATATGAATACACAGACAAATGAGCATTTTGAGATAATTTACAGGCATGATCAAAAGAAAAAGTTGAAAATAAGAAATACTGCAACAAAATGTAACATTATTTTGAGTATACTTCTCATTAAATATATATGTGGCAGGGCCATCCAGGTTTTATTTGTGTAAATACAGCAGTGGCATATTTTCTGTTTTATTTGTGTAAATACGGTATCGGTATTTAGATAGTTAGCACAATTTGAAGTCAATCTACCTTGAGAGTTTGCACAAGGCACTCACTCAACAACATAATCAGCTTGTACAGCCAGATACTGACAGACTGTTTGTGCTCACCTTCTTTTTTAAAGGTTAGTTAACTAAACTATTAATGTAGTATTATGTAGGATGTTACTTATAAATACTTATTTTAGCATACAGTAAACATGTAATTTTCTGAGTAAAATTGATATTTTATACTTATCCTGACTCATGCTCTTTTGCTTGTCTTCTTCTTCTTGCGAACATAGTGGAACACTTGTATCTCCCTAATTGAAGCTCCCTTCAATGTAAAATCACTAATTAGTACTCACGAGTTGCCTCCCTTTGCCTTTGCGCGGGAAAGGCGGCGCCACCTTCTGGCCCTATGCTTCACTCTCTCCTGATATAGTGAGCCCAACACTTGAATTTACAGGGAAATCCAAAGTGTTATGTGGGGAGGATGGGAGGGCTTACCTCATGAGTCAGGATAAGTATAAAATATCAATTTTACTCAGAAAATTACATATTTTTCCTTATCCTGACTCATGCTCTTTTGCTTGTAGAATCCTACGGAAACGGAGGTAGGAAGGACCAGAATACTTTGGATTTTATAAAATTAATTAGTGATTTATATTATGTCCCCCTTACGGGAACTTCATAATGGCACTGAATTAGGATAATTCCTGCTACTATAAACCATAAGTTTAATGCCATATATGGGGTATTACAATAATAATATACTATGATAATAGCAATAAAGGTATAAAAAGCGACTCCAACATGGAGAAGCTACCCAACTGTACATAACCATCAGTACTGGGCTTAAGGCTAAGTAGACTTAAGCTAAGTATATAAATAGCCCTAAAACTCTGTAGAGTTATAAGCTAGATAATACTGGTATGAAATATACATAATAATCTCGTAAGACTATGTCTTATCTTCTACGAGGGACTGTCAACTGCTGTGTGAGGACCATGGGACCGAAATGGTGAATACCTGAGACGTCCTCGGTGGTGATATCTCTCAGATAGTGATTAGCAAACACCATGTCGGATTTCCAAAAGCAGCCCTCCATGATGGTATTTAATGAGCAGTTACCATGTAGAGCGAGTGTGGAAGCCAATGCTCTGATCTCATGCGGATTAGATGCTCTTGGAGGGTCGAGTCCTGCAGCCTTGTAGGCGTGAAGTATGACAGTTCTTATCCATATAGATATGGTGGTACAAGAGACTTCGGTCTGAGTCGTTGCCGATAGAGGGATGAATAATCGTTTGAGATGTCGTCGCCTCATTTTGGAACGTCGTAGATAGATTTTGAGAGCTCTGACTGGGCATAGAGATAGGTCCAGCGTATCTTGAGATCCGAGAATTGAGGAGAGTGCAGGAACATGGAATAATCTGTCTGGTTGACCTGGCAATTGATTTTTGGCGATGAAATCCCATCGTAGTCCCAAGTGCACTGTGTTTTGATTGTCGTCAAACCGTATCCTCTCATAATCTAGTGCGTGAATTTCTGACATCCTGGCTGCCGTCGCTAGAGATAACAGGAACAAGGTTTTCTGTGAGAGAAATTCAAAGGTTGTTGATTCCAACGGTTCATAAGCCTCACTTGTGAGGTGTTGGAGCACTATATTTAGATCCCAAGCTGGAGCGTGGAACTTCCGTTTCTGATCTTCCAATCGGAATGCACGTAGTAAGGCCAGTAACTCTGGCGTCTTGGTTAGCTTGACATCCGTTCTCATAGTTATCACAGAACTAAGCGCGGCAAGATATGTTGACAATGTCGAGCCTTTTAAATGTTTATTTTGGCTTAGGTAACACAGATAATCAGCCACTTGTGGATGTGTAGCATTTCTCGCTGTAAATCCCTTTTTTGCTGCGTAATTTTCGAAACTGTGCCACTTGTCGCCGTACAAGTTACGTGTAGAATAGCGTAAAGCAAGCGTGACTGCTTTCGCCGCTCTGGCTGAATAACCTCTCTTGTTTAAACACACTTTAATACAGTCCATACGTGAAGTTGGAATGCTTCTGGGTTTCCGTGCGCCTGTTTGGTGTGAGGATGTACTAGTAGATTCGAGCGCTTTGGTAGCTCTAGTGTTGGTTGTCCGATTTCTTGAATTAGAATGGGAAACCACGTTCTGGCTGGCCAGTAGAGCGACCAAAATCAGTTGGAGGCTCTGTGTTTGTCTGATTTTCTGTAACACTTGAGGGATTAAGCTGGCGCGAAACGCTGCGACGCATTGAGGCCTCCCAGGATATGCTTAGAGCGTCCGTTGCCCACGCTCGTGGATCCGGGACTGGTGATACGAATGTCGTTAGCTGATTGTTGAAGCGAGTGGCGAATAGATCTACTAGCGGAGCTCCTATTTGCTTGATAATCTGTGCAAAAATTTCTGTATGGAGCATCCATTCTGTCGGTGACGGTAGATGTGGCCGAGAGAGTGCGTCTGCTAGTACATTCTTGGCTCCGGGAATGTGACATGCTCTGACATGTAAGTTGAGATTGTCGATTAGATCGAACAGTTGAAAGCATAAAGTCAATAGGTTCAGTGATCTCGTTGAGCCTTGTTTGTTCACATAAAACGCCACTGTTGAGTTGTCGGTATGAATCATCAGATGCGCCTTTTGCAGAATGGTGCTCCAATGAAGTATGGCGTTGATTACCGCTTTCATCTCTAACATGTTTATATGGAGCTTGCTTTCTTGCTGATTCCATAACCCTGAAGCCGTCCGGTTGGCGAGATGAGCTCCCCAACCTTGGAGCGACGCGTCTACATATAGATGGGTTTTGAATTCCGGCTCTGTTAAATAAATGCCTTCGCAGACATTCGACCTCCTGGTCCACCATAGTAGATGAGGTCTGAGGTGTTTCGGTAGACTGAATGGTTGTAGGTCGTCGAGATGAGCATTGATGAAGACCTGTAACGGACGTAACTGTAGTCTGCCTCTGACTGTCATGTCTTGGGCTGACGTGAGGAGACCCAACAGACTCTGCCAATGTCGTAGTGGTAGCGGAGAGAGTAGGGCTAGTGGAATGGTCTGTTGGATCTTGAGCCATCGGTCTTCTGGTACGACGATACGGTTGAGAGTCGTGATAAATCGAATGCCTAGAAATTGCAGATCTTGCGATGGTACTAGGTCCGACTTGAGTAAATTTACTAACCATCCTAGCTGTGTTAGTAGCTTGATGATGTAGTTTAACTGTAGTTTGAGACGCTGTGGATATTGATCTACTTGTATCCCGTCGTCGAGGTAGAACGCACTGCGTAGCCCTAGACGATGTAGGTAGGTGACGATAGGTTTCGTTACTCTTGTGAATAACCAGGGGGCCGATGATATTCCAAATGGGAGTACTTTCCATTGGTAATGCAGCCCGTCTAGTGTAAACCGTAGGTATTTCCTGGATTCGGGATGTATCGGGACGTGTAGATACGCATCTTGCAGATCTATACTGGCCATGTAGTCCATGGAACGAATTAAGTGCCGTAATTGAGGTAGATGTATCATGCGAAACGTTGGCGGTTTGCGTAGATAATCTCTGTTGAATGTGCTCATGTTGTAAATGAGTCTGTATTTCTCCTTGGAGTTTTTCTTGGGCACTAGGAAAACTGGGGAGTAGAAGCCTGGTTCGATGTTTACTTGATCTAGTACTTCTATGGCCTGCTTGGTTAGGAGAGATGTAACAGCCTCTCTTAACTTTGGTAGTTGTTGTGCCTGGAAGTCGAACTTGTGAGGGTTGACTGTCAGCGGAGGCATGGCCTGTAGTGGGATACGATATCCGTGCTGAAGAATGTTGGAGACATATGGGTCTTGTAACATTCCCCAGTTCTCCCAGTGCAGTTGAAGGCGTCCACCCACTTGTGACGGTTGTACTGGAACGGCTGGGGGTGGAAGACTCCAGTCGTTCCGAACCTGTCTTTCATCGTTTATAGTTGCGGGAACCTCTGGGTGCCCTGCCTCTTCCTGATCCTCCTCTGTAGTTGCCATATGGGCGACGAAAAGACTGACTGACTGACTGAGTTGAGTTTTACGCCGCTTTTAGCAATATTCCAGCAATATCATGGCGGGGCACACCAGAAATGGGCTTAACACATTATGCCCATGTGGGGAATCGAACCCGGGTCTTCGGCGTGACGAGCCAACGCTTTAACCACTAGGCTACCCCACCGCCCCGGCGACGAAAAGAATCTTTTCCCCTGGAGCTGGCCATCTTCCTATCCCGTGCTCTCTGTAATCCAGTGAATTTAGATTTCCCTGAATATCTTTGTGAAGTCTGCCTGATGACGCTGGCTAGCGTGTCCATCGACTTTATCATAAGGACTTCTCTAGAATCCTTAGTGACTTCCTTGGAGATTTTCTCTATTCCTCCGTCAAAGATGGATGGTGAAGACCACGGGGGGTTGTATAGAGTGGAGCTGTAAACTGCTCACCCCAGCTGCAAGAAGCGAGGAGGCCTTGACGACGAGCTAAAGTTAGCGCTGCAGAGACTGATGTGAGATGATCCGTTAGGAACTGCTGGTCCTTCTTCTGCATAAGTAGGGCCGAGTAGATCATTCTATCATCCTCAGATGTCGTGTCTCGAAATCTGGTGATAAGAGTCTCATTGATCGTTCTAGATCTATTAAGGCCAAAGAACATTCGCCTTGTCATGGTTTCTATCTGCACCAGCTTGCGATCGTCAATCTTATAGTTCTTATTCTTGACATCGTTGATCACTTTGTAATTATCATCGATGTCTTGTGCCTTGAGGAAGGGGTCCATATTATGGGTTGAGAACTTCTTAGCGTTAAACTGCGGTAGGTGTGGCGCTTGGACTTTAGTGGCTTTATGGAAGGCTGTGTCCAGATTCTGTGGCACCGTAGCAATCGGGTCGATCGGAGGTAGGGTGATGGTGTCTGCATCGTCCTCCTTCATCAGGTAAGTATGCGCCGAATTACCACTCTTGGAAGGTGAAGATAGGTCTAGGTTGTTAACCATCCAATAGCGTATCTCAGCGTCTGAGAAAATGATGCCTCCATCATCTTCTACAACGGGATCGCTGATAAGAGGTTGATGCTCTTCTGATGGTGAGCTATATGCTTCTACCGCTGTACAGGATGATGTTAAAGGAGACCTGACTTGGGACTTCCGTGAAGACTTGTGTGGTGACCTGCGAGGAGATCGACGTGGTGATCTACGAGGAGATCGCGAGGTGAACGGCGAGGTGATCGGCATGGAGAATGGCGAGGAGATCGTCTTGGTGAACGGCCTGACGAGCTGCGTCTAAAGGTTGACCTTCGCGGAGATCTATGTGGTGAACGTTGATAGCTTCGCGAAGTCCTTGTGGAATCCCTGGATGACCTTCTGGACGAAGATGACTTGGAGCCTGTTACTGGTGCCCTTCGTGAAGACCTTCGCGAAGCTTCATCTGCGTCCGGTCCTGGGGAGCGACGACTTGACCTTCGCGAAGGCTTTCGTGAAGTCTGGGGGTCCGAGTCAGAGTCCAGGGATGAGGTGATCTTCCTTCTCGAGCCTTTATGTGAGTGTTGATCATCAGAGTCCGAGGTAGGTGATGATCTAGAAGCCCTTCGCGAAGGCTGTACATCTGGGTCCTTCGTCGAGGTGGTCTGTGACTTCCTTCGCGGAGGTGGCTTAGTCGTGGCCGCTACGTTGACGGGGGGTCCCTCTGGGATGTCGTCTACGTTGGAGCCTTCGCGAAGGCTCAGGCTCTGGGCTGGTTGTCTCTCCAGTCTGTAACGGTCCTCCATCATCTTCATGATTTGCCGCATCAGGTCGTCTGGGACGGTCTGTGAAGATGTAGTCGGTGCCCTCTCTGCGATGTTAGCGACGGGGCCCTCAGGAAGATCGTCCGACATCAGTGTAGACACATCAGGCTGCATGGCGATCTGTGCTGACGTCACTGTTGCCGACACCGGTCGTCTCTTGTTGTCGTAGATCGGGTATGATGATCGGCTGATCATCATACAGGCCCAGTTCAGCAGCGGGAACAATCTCGGCTGAGAACGTTCTAGAAGACTTTGTAGATTTCCCCTTGGAGGTAGACGCTGCCCTGGGGGGTACGGAGTCTGCGTTGAGTAGATGTCGAGGCCCTCTTAGACTTTGGCTGCGATGACGGGATGTCTGGGGAAGCAGGACGCTTCTTGGAGATGGCGGACTGAATCCCACGCCCCTCCTCCGAGGGAAACTCTAGCGGAACACCAGACGGGAGGGGGTCGTCCGACAGCAGCTGACTGGCTAGGGGGTCCGATGTATCGGCCATGGCTAAACCTTGTTTGCGTGACCTATCTGCTGCACGTCTCAAGACGCAAAGATGATATTTATTAAATGCAGAATTAGATAGATTAATACAGTAACTGCAACGTGAAGAAAACGCACAAGGCGTAGTACAGCTAGGGCATATTAAATGCGGGTCAGCAGCAGAAAAACGTAATCTACAAATAGTACAGATTTTCATCAACGTAAACTAGCTGAACAATCACGGAATCCCCGTGAATAAACAGTAGAAATACGAATAATTATCAATACATATTGATGAAGGATACTAGCTACACCTCTATATTAAACTATAAGAGGTAACTAACTAAGAATAACCAAAGGATATAGTGTGTAGGGAGACACAGGCGCTCTCACATCCTGCTCACTGGGCGAAGAAGGAGAGAGTGAAGCATGAGGCCAGAAGGTGGCGCCGCCTTTCCCGCGCAAAGGCAAAGGGAGGCAACTTGTGGTGAGTACTAATTAGTGATTTTACATTGAAGGGAGCTTCAATTAGGGAGATACAAGTGTTCCACTATGTTCGCAAGAAGAAGAAGACAAGCAAAAGAGCATGAGTCAGGATAAGGAAAAATAACATTATTGCTTAGATTATGATTAGGAAAGACTGTTGCCTGTATCCACACCCTTAAATTCATTCTAGTCAAATCATATCACCTGAATATATATTCCTCATCTGACAAGGATGAGTTTTAACATGTATCTTTAATTGTATCTGAACATACTGAAAGATATTTCCAACTTCTAAAAATGCCACCATTAGATGTCTTTTTAGATGTCCTCTTTCCATTAAGAGAAAGGTTGTGGAAGGAAGTCCTTTGCTTTAGTTGTATTTTATACATAATATAATCACACAGTCCTTCATGTAAGGTAATCTGACTTCCAGTCAGGTGAGCTAAAAACAAAATAATTCCTACCATTCTTGGACCACCTTATCTCGCCTCTGTCCAAATCCAGGAAGCATCCAATGGTGTCATTCATTCCAAACGGCTGCAACAAGACATGTATATCAGTATAGATATCACAATTCCATGAATAACACAACTGTATCGCCCTAGTCATAATACCTCAAACCCCTGAAGATTCGGGTTAGAATATTGATCTTTAGTAACCCATGCTTGTCGTAAGAAGCGACTAACGCCGGGATTGGTTGGTCTGGCTCGCTGACATGGTTGGTATATGTTATCATATCCCAATTGCATAGGTTGATGCTCATGCAGTTGATCACTGGATTGTCTGGTCCAGACCTGATTATGTACAGACTGCCGCCATGTAGCTGGAATATTGCTGAGAGTGGCATAAAACGAAACTCAGTCACTCATAATACCTCCAGATTCAACAGTTTGTTCCTTGGACATGATGTAAATATCTTGTCAAAAAACATACAAAAAACAATGTCAATTTCTGAATAAATTTGATATTTTATACTTATCCTGACTCATGTATTTTTGCTTGTCTCCTTCCTCTTGCGAACGTTAGTGGAACACTTGTATCTCCTTATTGAAGCTCCTTTCAATAAAACAGACGTAAAATCACTACTCACCATGAGTTATCTCCCTCGCCGTTTTGGCGGGAAAGAGGCGCGCCACCCGTCTTCCCACGCTTCACTCTCTCCGAATTAGTAGCCCGACACTTTAATTTACGGGGAAATCCAAAGTGTCTAGTGGGGAGGTTGGGAGGGCTTACCTCATGAGTCAGGATAAGTATAAAATATCAAATTTATTCAGAAATTTACATATTTTTCCTTATCCTGACTCATGTATTTTTGCTTGTAGAATCCGTCGGATTTGGTGGCGGGTCAAGCCACTTCTGGATTCCAGTTAGTGATTACGTCTATATACCCCCCTGGGAACTTCTATTTACTGCTATGCAGTAATATCAGATATCATCTCAGCGCCTTTGTGGGACTGTCAATTGTTGTGCTACAACAAGTGGGCCAAAATGGTGAATGCCGGAGACGTCTTCGGTGGCGATGTCCCTCAGGTAATGGTTGGCAAACACCATGTCCGATTTCCAGAAGCAGCCCTCCATTATTGTTCTGATAGAGCAATTCCCGTGTAGAGCGAGTGTTGACGCCAGAGCTCTAACTTCATGTGGGTTGGAGACTCTTGGAGGATCCAGTCCTGCTGCTTTGTAGGCCCGTAGTATGACAGTTCTGATCCAGATAGATATCGTAGTGCGGGAGACCTCCGTCTGTGTCGCTGTCGATATCGATATCGGGACGAAAAGACGCTTGAATTTTCGTCTCCTGGTCCTAGATTTTTGTAGGTAAACTCTCAATGCTCATCGCTGGTGAGATGTCGTAGAACTATGTTGAGGTCCCACGCCGGAGCTTTAAATCTCTGTTGTTGGTCCTCCAGTTTAAAAGAGCGTAGTAAGGCCAGTAACTCTGGTACTTTCGTCAGTTTTGCACTCGTCCTCATGGTGACAACTGAGCTCAATCCCAAGGTATGTTGAGAGTGTTGACCCTTTTAACCGCTTTGTTTGTCTTAGGTGACAAAGGTAGTCCGCCACTTGAGGGTGTGTCGCTTTTATGGCTGTGAAGCCGTTCCTCAAAGCGTATGTCTCGAATCGTCGCCACTTGTCGTCATACAAGTTGCGTGTAGACTTGCCTAGAGCTAGTGTGACTGCTTTAGCTGCCCTGGCGGAATATCCTCTCTTGTTCAAGCATGCCTTAATACAGTCCACACGTGTAGACGGAACACCTCTGGGTTGCCGTGTGCTTGCTTTGTGTGAGGATGTACTAGCAGATTCGTCCACTTTGGTAGTTGCAGTTGAGGCGGTCCTAGTTCTTGTATGAGAATGGGGAACCATATTCTCGCTGGCCAGTAAGGCGCGACCAAAATCAGTTGTAGGGCCTCGTCTGCCTGATTTTCTGCTACACCCTCGGTATTAGAGCTGGTGGTGGAAACGCGTAAGCGTTTAGTCTTCCCAGGATATGCTTAGAGCGTCCGTTGCCCATGCTCTTGGATCTGGTATTGGTGAGACGAATGTTGTCAGTTGATTGTTGAATCTTGTGGCGAATAGGTCTATTAGTGGCGCTCCCATCTCTTGTATGATCTGTTTGAAGATCTCTGGATGTAGCATCCATTCTGTTGGGGATGGCTGCGTTGGACGGGATAGTGCGTCAGCTATCACATTCTTGGCTCCTGGAATGTGGCATGCTCTTATGTGGATGTTCAGGTTGTCTGTTATGCTGAACAGTTGAAAGCAGAGGTTCAGAAGGTTCGCCGACCTTGTTGATCCTTGTCTGTTTATGTAGAACGCCACTGTGGAGTTGTCCGTATATTTTCAGATGAGCATTCTGCAGAATGCTGGTCCAGTGGAGTATGGCGTTTATCACTGCTTTCATTTCTAGCATGTTGATGTGCAGATCTTTCTCCTCTATGGTCCATGTCCCAGCTGACACTTCGTTGTCGAGGTGTGCTCCCCAACCTTGGAGAGATGCGTCCGCGTAGAGATGTGTCTTGCACTCCGGCTCTGCTAAATAGGTGCCTCCGCAAACATTCGATCTCTGGGTCCACCATAGTAGATATGGCTTTAGTCCGTCCGGGAGTCCGAAGGGGTCCGGGTCGTCCAGATGAGCATTCACGAAGACCTGTAGTGGGCGTAGTTGTAGCCTCCCTCTGCGTGTCATGTCTTGTGCTGACGTGAGGAGACCCAACAGACTCTGCCACTGTCGTAGTGGCCACGGAGAGAGTAGAGCTTGCGATATTGTCTGTTGTATCTTCAGCCATCGGTCCTCTGGTACTGCTATGCGGTTTCCTGTTGTGATGAACCGGATTCCTAAGAACTGCAGGTCCTGTGTAGGTTCTAGGTCCGACTTGAGGAGATTCACTTGCCACCCCAGTTGTGTGAGCAGTCTGATGGTGAAGTCCAGCTGTAGTCTGAAATGATTGGGATCTCGATGAACTTGAATCCTGTCGTCTAGGTAGAATGCACTGCGTAGACCTCGATGATGTAGGTATGTGACTATGGGCTTCGTCACTCTTGTAAACAACCAGGGGGCCGATGATATTCCAAATGGCAGGACCTTCCATTGGTAGTGTCGTCCGTCCAGTATAAACCTCAGGTACTTCCTTGAGTCCGGATGTATAGGAATATGAAGGTATGCGTCCTGTAGATCTATGCTGGCCATGTAGTCCATCGGACGGACGAGATGTAAAGTTGTGGTAGATGAATCATGCTGAACTTTGGAGGTCTGCGTAGATAATCTCTGTTGAATGTCCTCATATTGTAGATTAGTCGGAACTTTTCTTTGGAGTTTTTCTTTGGTACTAGGAAAACTGGGGAGTAGAATCCTGGTGAGATCTGGTCCTGGTCCACCACTTCTATGGCGTCCTTCTCTAGTAGAGATGTGACTGCTTCTCGTAGCGTCTCCGTCCAATGGGTTGCAAAGTCGAACTTCTGAGGTTCGTCTGTTAATGGCGGAGCTGCTTGTAGTTGTATGCGATATCCGTCTCTTAGGATGTTGGATACAAATGGATCTTGAAGAATTCCCCAGTTCTCCCAGTAGCTTTGAAGACGTCCACCCACTTGTGAAGGTTGCACAGGAACGGCTGGGGGTGGAAAACTCCAGTCGTTCCGAACCCCTCCTTCATCGTCTATGGTCTCTGGCGCCTCTGGGTGCCCTGCCTCGTCCGGAACGTCCTCTCTAGTTGCCGGCTGGGCGACGAAAAGGGTCCTTTCCTCCTCTGGAGGTCCCCATTTTCTTCTCTCTTGCTTTCTGGATGCCTGCAAACTTGGACTTGCCCGAGTAGCGCTGGGACGTCTGCCTGATGACAATGGCTAGTGTATCGATGGACTTGATCATTAGGACTTCCCTGGAGTCCTTAGTGACTTCCTTGGCGGCAGTGTCAATATCCCCTGCGAAGATGGATGCAGTAGACCATGGGGCTGTGTACAGCGACTTTGTGAAGCGTTCGCTCCAGTTGCAGGAAGACAGTAGTCCTTGTCGTCTAGCTAACGTCAGTGCTGCTGATATGGATGATAGATGGTCCGTCATAAACTGCTGGTCCTTCTTCTGCGTGAGTAGAGCAGAATAGATCATCCGGTCTTCCTCTGCAGTAGAGTCCCTGAACTTGGCGATGAGTGTCTCATTCACTGCCCTGGATCTGTTCAGTCCGAAGAACATCCTTCTGGTCATCGTGTCTATCTGCGCCAACTTCTTGTCCTCAATCTTGTAAGATTTGTTCCGGGCGTCATTGATAACCTTATAGTTGTCATCGATTTCTTGTGCTTTCATGAAGGGGTCCATGTTGTGTAGAGAGAACTTCTTTGCGTTGAACTGTAGGATATGCGGAGTCTGAGACTTCGTTGCCTTCCTGAAGGCTGCGTCCAAGTTCTCTGGTACTTCCGAGATGGGATCAATTGGCGGTAGCGTGATCGTGTCGACATCATAGTCCTTCATTAGGTACATGCGTGCTGCATTCTCTTCCTTAGAGGGTGACGCTAAGTCCAGTCCATTAGCCATCCAGTATTTTATCTCTGAGTCCGAGAAGATGATACCGCCGTCGTCCTCTGTATCAGGTCCACTGTTATAAGATCGTTGATCGTTCTTCGCTGGGGATCTGTGTAGCGATCTATGTGGCGATCTGCGTGGTGATCTACGTGGAGATCTGCGTGGAGCTGAACCTGTTGAGCTGCGTCTATAGGGCGATCTGCGCGGCGACCTGCGTGGAGGTGAGCGTCTGTTGGTTCGTGAATACCGCGGTGAATCCCATGACGATCTGCGAGATGTTGACGATGTCCTTGAGGCTATGTCCGAAGACCTTTGCGAAGGTGAGAGATCTAGATGAGGGTCCAAGTCCCGAGACGTCTCTCTGGTGCTAGGTTTCTTCCTCTGTGAGGTGGGTAGCCTTCGTGAAGGTTCCTCCTCTGCTTCCTCTGAAGACAAGCGTGCAGGCCTGCGCGCAGGCTTGTTCCTGGAGGTAGCTTCGCTGGAGGGCCTCTCTGATGTATCGTCAGCGTTGCCTTCATGCAGGTCGGGGTCCTCTCTGCGGGTGATGCCTTGAGCATGAGAGCCCTCATGCAATGCTCTTTCCTGCGCGAAGCGCCTCTCCATCATCTCCATTATCTGCTGAGAGAACTGCTGCATGAAGGCCCCGGGGTTGAATGTCTGCGATGATTGAAGAGCTGCCCTCTCTGCGCTGGTAGCGATATGGTCCAGGGATCGCTCATCTCCCGTCAGTGTAGATGGTGCCTCTGACTGTGTAGACAGCTCTGCTGACATTACCGTTGCTGCAGCCTGCTTCTTCTTCTTCTGCTGCATCTCAGGGATGATCAGCGGCGGCTCATTGTAGAGTCCTCTCTCTGCCATCGGGACGATCTCGGCCGAGAAGGTCCCCGTGGTCTGCACAGAAGTCCCCGTAGAGCTGTTAGACGTCTTAGGGGTGTGTGGCCTTCTCTGCGTAGAGGATGGCTTCTTCTTCTTAGTCTGCGTTGAGGGGTTGTCCGATGTAGCAGCCCTTTTCTTCGAAGTGGCGGACAATGTCCCACGCCCATCCTCCGAGGACATCTCCGGCAGGTCACTAGATGGTAGTAAGTCGTCTGACAACGATAGACAGCTCATGAGGGACTCCACCGGTTTATCCATGACTTGTAAAAGTCGCCTGGATTTGTCGCTAGCACGCCTAAGTACAGAGAAAGAATATTTATTAAATTGAATTTCTGTTAAATGCTTACAAAGTTTACAGCGAGAGCTGCAAGTAAATGTTGTTGTGCAGCTAGGGCACAATAAATGCGGGTCTGCAGCAGAGAACCTAAATCTACAACGAAAACAGGTTTTCATGAAATGTAAACAACTGAACAATCACGTACAAAAACGTGAATAAACAGTCAAATTACGAATAAATTTCAAACCATATTGTTGAAGGATACTGTCTAAACCCCTATAAAGGTAATTTATAGGGTAGTAACTAAAAAATCAAAGGATATAGTGTCGTATTGGAGACACAGGTGCACTCCCAACCGTCCACTAGGGCGAAGAAGGAGAGAGTGAAGCGTGGGAAGACGGGTGGCGCCTCTTTCCCGCCAAAACGTCAAGGGAGATAACTCATGGTGAGTAGTGATTTTACGTCTGTTTTATTGAAAGGAGCTTCAATAAGGAGATACAAGTGTTCCACTAACGTTCGCAAGAGGAAGGAGACAAGCAAAAATACATGAGTCAGGATAAGGAAAAATAAAACAAAATCCTTTTCATAGTGCTTTGAATTGATAAATGTGCAGTTATGGCTTCAACTAATAAGTCCTTGACATAATACATATACATGGAACCAACTATTCCCTGCATATAGTTTCTGAAGCCAACAATTCCTAACATCAATTCCATCAATGTACAATTCCCTGGATATAATTCCTGGAATCTACACCTCCCTGGACATAATTCTCAGAACCAACAAATTCCCTGGATCTAATTCCTGGAACCAACAAATTCCCTGGATCTAATTCCTGGAACCAATAATTACCTGGATCTAATTCCAGGAACCAACAATTTCCTGGACATAATTCCTGGAACCAACATCACTTGACAAAATACCTTGACCTAACATAAAAGGCAGATATAGCCCATGTGAAAGTCTAGTATTATTTTACAGTTTTGCATCTATATTACCTACAGCCATAATAGAAGACAGACTAACCTCTCCATAACTATCAAACTGCTTTCCATTGGACTTTTTTCCAGTTCCTCCAAAGCCATATCCAAATTTACAAGTGCCCAGATCAAGTGTTGCCCGATCTGTGGACCAGCCGACTCTGCACAGCCCTTCATCTGTCACTGCTGCTTCGTAGTAGTACCTGCCTGAACACACAGAGGACAGTGTCAGGATGGGAAGTGGCCTAATTATACACTTGTCATCAACTTGGAGAAACAAATGAAAAACATATCTGCAACAGAGTCAATAAATACAAATTTATCTATACATTTTACACAAAGCATTACACAAACATTATTGTCATGGTATGCATCAAATATCAGGAAGAATTCCTAAATTGGAGTTTACAATTCCCCACTTACAAACTGTTTTAGTTACATCCTGTATGACATTGTATTGAGTCAGTTGGGTTTCATGCTGCTTTTAGCAATATTCCAGCAATATCATGGCAGGGGGACACCATTAATGGGCTTCACACACTGTACCCATGTGGGGAATTTAACTAAGGTCTTTGGTGTGACGAGTGAAAGCTTTAAAGGTCACATAAACCCTAGGGGGTACAAATACATAAATCACTAACTGGCATCGTTATAAATGAAACCCCGTCATTAAAACTACTCATTTCGACCTTTAATTGACTTAAATCGACCTTTTTGACAACAGTGCACAATTCTTACCAGCGAACGAAATTTCAACCAATTAGAGCGAGCCGCGTCTCTGTGACGTCATATGAGGAATAACTTTGAGGGCCGATGCAGAATTCATCAACATTTTAGGGGGTAAATTATCTTGTTTACAGGCTTGTATAAACCTGAAATCGTGACAATTGTTGTGGAAAATGAAAGCTATATGTTCTCACAATCTACTGTCATTTACTTTTGTCTCCTGCTTTGCCTAGTTTCCGAGTTACAACTTGTTTTCATAGATGATTCTGTCAAAATCGATCGGTGGCGTTAGGCCCTATTTTTATAATGACTGATCCAAATTGATCCCATTTCTGTGTTTTTTTACCTCGATATTTAATCATGTCATGTAAAAATCTGTTTGTATTCTCAAAACAGTGTCGGCCCATAAGTTTTCACATGCAATACATCAATTAATACTCCCTTGTTGTAACCCGTGTTAGGTGGTATATACCTACATATGTTATTTGTCATCATTCACTTGATGGTCAGTTAATGAATTTATAACAGGTATAATTAGTGGTAACACACTTAGATTACCGACAAAGGTTCCCATTTGGCATTTCTTGTGTCTTGGGTAAATATTCAACATTATTAACATCGATCAAAGGATTAACCGATAACACGCTGATTGATTAATTACTTTTATCTTACACAGCGGATTTGTCAAAAGGTAGTGTTTATGTATGCAGATTTACTAATCTATACTGAATACACTCTGTTGTGTCGGTGTCTGCGTAAAAACAACGTCTTTCTTTCAAAGGATTAATCGGCAATACATTGATTGATTGCCCATTATTGGTTAACTAATTTACTGTTTTTAAAGAAAGGCGGACATTATGCAATTGGTTGCCAGGTGTGCTATCTTGGGTGACCAATGAGACTATACACCAATACCTGAAAAGATTTATCACTTTTTCGTATATTAAACTGTTAAAAGACACATCATTTGGAACAGTTTTGTGGATATTGATGGATCCATTCCTCGAACAAGGTAATGGCCTGATATTGTTCTTATAACTTTGATCTGTTTTAATTTTAATATTTGCATGTTGTTTTTATTCATTTGTCGTAGCATTCAACAGAATCATTGTTTTCGCCGTGAAGTGTAATGAGACAGACAACTCTAGGGTGTGTGTGTGCGAATTATGATTCACATTGGCAAACTATAAAATGTCTAGATATTACAGTTCTGTTATAAATTCACTATAAGTATCAGCAGATCGTCTGCTTTTTATTTAGTTTCAAAATGCATACAAGTATGATAATAAACTAATTAGGATTATAAGACCAAATATAAAGACGCACATTGACTAGTATCTACATACTGGTGAGTGGACATTAACCATGTGAATGTAGCAAGAAATGTATCGCGCAGTATTGTGACTTCGACCCCCACCTCGCTTCCGTGGAAGAAATCGTCATGTTATAAGTTGTGTCATGCAAAATCCGTTTGGTTATGATTCCAATACATATTTAACTATGAGTAGAAAGTAGTTTTGATTTTCTAACTTGATGAAAACAAACTATAATCTCATTAATTCTAACAGACTTTACGATTTTCAAAAATGGCGGCACCCTGTCTGGAACATCCGCCAGTCTGAGGATAAATGCTATTTAGGTTTGTTTTCACCGAAGTTACAAAATCAAAACTACTTTCTACTGGTGGTAAATATGTATTTGATTGATGGCCAATAGGATTTTGCATGACATACCGTATAACATAACAATTTCTCTCGCGGTGGCGCAGGTGGGTTTCAATATAATACCACTTACAATATTATTGTTACCGACCACAACCTCACTTCGAGGAAGAAATCGTTATGTTACAAGTTGTGTCATGGAAAATCTTTATGGTCATCAATCATATACATATTTTACTACAACTAGTAAGTAGTTTTGATTCTTTAACTTCCGAGAAGCGATCTGAATACAAGTAAGATATCGTTTCAGGCTTCCACAACGCCACCTCTCACTCACAAACATAACCCATTTAGCACTAACCGCGGGTCCTGTGGAAATCTGTGCATGGTGACACCATCGCCCGACCCTCTAGGAGCACTTTGACGACAAAGCAACGATTCGCATGTCGCCGTTGATGTCGAGAAATCATCAAAATGATGAGTGTGCTACACACTCTCTATACAACTAACTGAAAATCGTTCCTCATATGACGTCACTGCAGTGCTCTGGCGACAGAGTTACGTAACCTGTCTGTGGTTTCGTTGGCGGGCGAGAGGGAAGCAGGCGACTTTTTGGCCACTTTTAATCGCTCGGTATTAATTAACCACAAGTTTTTAAAGAATAAATTTGGTGTTCCGCATAAGACTAACTACAAATCTTTCATATGTAATGGTTAAAGAGTAACAAAAAACAAAGTTTAGTGGTTCTTTAACCACTGGGCTACCCCACCGCCCCCATATGGCATTGTAAAATGTACTTCACTAACATCATGACCAATACAGTGAAAGAGTCTTTAATGTTTGGTTAGAAAATGTTAAGTAAAGCTTCCACTAAAATGAACTTACAGGAGCACATTTATGACTGCCATCAGTTTTCTTTTTGTCAGGACTTATCCCCGATTTTCACCACTTTCCCCTTTACACTCCGTTTTAGTATTTGCTATCATAATTTGTAATAATGTTCGATCGTGAATGCTAACTTTGACAAATGCACATGGTTGCTAAGGTCCGCCATCATTGAATTGGAAAATCCCGATGTTTTTTTGTTGTTTGTTTGGTTTTTAAAAAAATATTTTTATTCACTTTATTTGGTTACAGTTGAACAAGATATGTGGGTAGAGTAAAATGGTACAGGTTGCATAATAAAAAGCAGACAATGTATAGCATATGGTACTGGGAATATAGATTAAACAACTGAGATGCTAGCTAATATTACAGAGAATTGAAAGACTAAAATATAAATTACATGACTGCATCTAGGACATTCCATTTTCTGTACAAATGTTTCATATTATCGTTTTTCTTCTCGATAAATTTCTCAGTCTCATAGATGTCCTTTAATAATGTTCTGTAGATGGTGAAACTTGGTTTGTGTCCTTTTATATTCATTATGAAAATGTGGCACTTTGCCAATAGTATCATGTGGTTGGGTAAGTGGTTACCACTGCAACAAAATAGAATATCATGGTTTGACGTTTCAGTACATTTTTTCCACGGACTTGAGCTACACAATTGTTCAAATCTGTCCAGAACATTTTGATGGTTGGACAATCAAGGTATACATGGTAAATATCCTCACTTACTGAACCACATAATGTACCTAGGTTATTATCTATCAATTTCATTTTTAGTAGTTCTCGTTTAGTGTAAATGGCTCTGTGCAAAAACTTATATTGAAAAGAGTTTCGTGTCTTTAGTGGATTGTCTATATTGTGAAAATATGGTTTTCCAATTTATCATATCATTTAGTTCCCCGTTCCATTTGAGACACACATTCGGAATGTTATAGTCAGATATGAAATTATCAAAGAATATCCTTGAACCTTTACTAGGTTTAATCAAATCGTTCCAAGGACAGCACATAGATAACAACGGTAAATTAAAGTTGTTGTTTGTTCGTATATTTTCTTTCCACTGTTTGGGTATACTAAGGAGAACACGATTAAAGTCAAGTACAGTACCCTTAATACCAAATTTTGCTTTAAGTTCCACAAATGTTAGAAATGCGTGGTCGTTACAAATATCTTTAATATAAACAATTTCACATTTAATCCAGTTATGAATGATCAAACTTGGCTGGTTACACTGGTGATTTAGCCATAATGGCTGCATGAATATTTCAGTAATGTCGTTATTGTTACATGCCGATCTTTTAACATATCTATGCCAGGCATCAAGAGAATCTTTCCAAAATGGATATTTAACTTTATAATATTTTGTAATGTTGGCTCCTAAATGAAGAAGGTTTTGTAAAGGGAAACCGGCAAGAGCATAGTTCTTAGGTTTTGAAATATATCTATTCAAACATGAAAGTTTTAAAGAGTCCATAAAGGTTTTCACATCGACCATTCTAAGACCACCTTCTTCGTACTAAATTAATTCATTTTATTTTGTTAGTTTTATCATTCCATATAAATTTGAAGAATAATCCGTTCAAATCAGTAATAAATGTTTTAGGGGGATTAGGGAGAGAAGAGAAGATGTGGACAATCGTGGATAAAGCTAAACTTTTAACAACGGTTATTTTCCCTATCAACGTTAAATTACGTCTTTTCCAATTCAGTAGAATTCTTTTTATATTTTCGAGTCTCTTCTTTGTATTGATTACCCATAGGTTTTCTAAATGAGCATTTAATTTGATTCCCAATACGTCGAAATTCTCATTATGCCAATCCAGCTTAAAGTCCTGGGATAGAACTATTTTACTACCTGCCATTGAGCCTAGCCATACTGCTTTTGTTTTATCAATGTTTATTTTCAAACCTGACATCTTGTAAAAGGAAAGCAAAGTTTTCATAGCTTCATTAAGAGAGGTTTGGAACCGTCCAAAAATAATTCAGTGTCGTCTGCATATTGACCAAAAACATGCTCGATGTCGATTTATAAATTCCTTTTAAATATGGAGAGATGGGATCACCCTGTCTACATCCCCTTTCATTATCGAAAAACGGAAAATCCCGATGTTATACTAAGCATGTGATTGGCTATAAGTTTTCGTGGATTTTATATGCGGAATCCTTCGTTAGTCATTTAAGGGAAGTAACTCCAAACTGAGCATGACTGACAATGTTTTTATACGACCATTTTCATAATGTTTCTGATTTAAATCAACAAAAACATGTGACGCTAAAAATGTAGGCCTTATTAAACAATTGAATGCTACTATGAATTTTAAAACGTATTTAGTGTATTAGCTTTCATTAATTTCGACCCTTGAATGCGAAGGGATTGACAATACAGGCAGGATTGTAGAATCTGTGAAGGGATTGACAATACAGGCAGGATTGTAGAATCTGTGAAGGGATTGACAATACAGGCAGGATTGTAGAATCTGTGAAGGGATTAACAATACAGGCAGGATTGTAGAATCTGTGAAGGGATTAACAATACAGGCAGGATTGTAGAATCTGTGAAGGGATTGACAATACAGGCAGGATTGTAGAATCTGAAGGGATTGACAATACAGGCAGGATTGTAGAATCTGCAAAGGGATTGACAATACAGGCAGGATTGTAGAATCTGCAAAGGCATTGACAATACAGGCAGGATTGTAGAATCTGACATTAGAATCTGACGGAGGGACAATCCTACAGGAGGAGAAGGATCATCAAGGTAAGAAGAAGCATGATGAGTAGTCGTCCATTCAGAAGCAATCAGCGATGACCTGAGGAACACTACTAAGGAAGGGACAGAAAGGACTGGTGTCAAGGGGTCAGAAATCGAAACTGGAGGCCTGAAAAGACATCTAAAATTCTCAGAGGCTGCTTCAAGAAAATCGTCAGCGTGGCTAAGCAACATAGAAGAATGGTGTGCCTTCTTCATGGATCTTTTAGACGTGTTATATAAAGACGGTCCAAAATCTTAAACACATTTATAACCACTATCCTCCATATTATTCAGGTAATTACAAGCAGAGCACTGATAACTCAAGGAACAGACACCAATACAATACAAGAGCGGGGGTCACAGTGTCAACTCTGCCTATAGTTCATCTGCACTCTTCTAAGATTAGAAAACAAGTTGTTCCCTTGGCCTCTGAAGAAAATATTATCTTCAAGACAGGACGTCCTCACTCACAAGCGACAAGAAAGAAAATGGAGATGGTCGAAAGAACAAGAGAAAATGCATAATGTGAGATAGGATTATCAGTGTCAAAATGGTATGTTTCGTACATAAGCCGATCCCCTGCGATGGGGTCCTAATCGCGGCAAACACAGACCACAGACAACTGGTAGTTACCGACAATTGTAACTTCGGTCTGTATTATTCACAGAATTCACAATCATATTGTGTCTACTCACGCCTCGAAATGAAGTGTAGTTGACAGCAAATGGATAACATATTTTATTTTGCTAAATATCATATTTATTGTAGCTGGACGATCACATGTCAACAAACTGGCTTGCTTATTTTACCCCATTCCATGTGCGTAAAACTTCCACATACCATGTTCATGAGGGTACGTTTTTCGCTCCAACCGCAGTATTATTATTATTTATTTTATTATTATTGGATATTTATATAGTGCACATATCCATGCACAAGTGCATGCTCAAGGCGCTAGTAGTTTTTCCCTCGATCAATGGATGTCAATCTCAACGGCACATCTTATTATGAATCTCAACTCCCTTGGGAGTATACAACTCTTGCAGCCACTAGGCGCACCGAGTTATTGCGGCTTTCCCATCCGTACGAGGTACCCATTCACAGCTGGGTGGACTGGGACACATAGTCACAGTACTTTGTCCAAGTTTACTGCATGTTGCTATACCCGCAACTAGGTGTTTGCACGAATTCATGTGGCCACCATCTGGTCATATACGAACTGATTCGTGGGTTCTTTTAAGTGCACAGGGTTGTGTACTGTACACGCGGGCATGTGAAAACACTGAAAGAGTCTGCACACAAAGTTGACTCCCAAGGTTTTCACACCCGGTCACAGGTGGGCTCGATCCGGCACCTCATGCTCGCTGGATCACTTGCCTGGCGCTTTAGCCAGCTCGCCCACCATGCCCCCCGATAGCGAATTTCACATCATATTATCAACAATCACGAACTGATTACCGCCTCGTTATCCATGGACCGCTAGTTTACAGTAACATCGGTGATCAGTGTGTGAAATAGCAAGCATTATTTCACCTCATTCCATGCTCGTACAACTTCCGCTTACCATGTTCATGAGGGTCCTAATAACCTTAGTGTTGGAAACGTGTGCACAGCTGATTGCTATTTCCGGCTCAATATACAAGACAAATACACACAGTAATCTTAATACCTGCAAATAAGACAATACCCAGGAAATCAAATTAGAACTGAAAAGGTAAATAATCTTGTCTTGTGATATATAATTGCAAACTTGACGTCTTCACTGACAAAGTCATTTTCTGAAACAATACGATGTCGTTTTCTTACTGTTCACCAGAAATAAAGTTTGACAAAAGTGTTACCCATTGATAAGCGACCCCCTTATACAGGCTGATGTTTTGGTCGTCAAAATTCGGCTTATCTACAGTAATATACGGAAATATGGATTACCACTTTTCACTCTCTAGTTGGTTGATGTGAAGAGACTTTCTTTTTTTGCCATAGCTCTGATGTTACCTCTGATTTGAGGTGAGCATCTGAGCCTTGGAGTGAAGCATCTACAAACTATGTAGGTTGTAATTCATCTTTCCAAATTAACCTGCCAAGGGCACCTAGTTTGGGGTCCTACTAAATCTTGCAATCTCAAAGATGTTTATAAGAAATCATACTCTGACCTTGCCCAGCAACAGACTTGTTTGAGCGTGTCCCATGCCATCCCTGGGGGTCTCTTGCCTGACACAGCACACCATCAGGGTCAATGGCTGTGGAGGAAGCAAACAGCATATTGTACATTGTCTCAAGGAACACCAAGTGTATAAGCAGCTTTATGTTCTTTGAATGCTACATTTCAGTACCAATACTTCAATTTCCAGTCATACTGGTATCTGAATTTTGCATTCAAAGAGGTTCTTATGAATAAGTATATCTGTCACTGATACTGCAGCTTCTAAATGCCACCTACTGTAATCATGCCTTCCTGCATGCACACTGTGGCAAGGTGGTGCCATTTGCCAAACTCTCCTTGACACAAACATTAGTTGTAAGAGATACACAGTCTCCCTATCACTGAATACTAATTAGTTTTTCTTTGTTTTAATTATGATTCTGGCCATGAAAAGAAGTCTCAAAACTAAATCTCCCACACATTGTGAACAGCTGATTGCAATGTTGGCTATTTTACAAGGCAAATACATGTAAGTTTTACAGATGACATAAGAACATGGTGAATAGGTGTGTCCTTAATGCTGTAACACAATTTACAACAATGTCATGATGTGCCATTGCTATAAACATCAGTACATCACAATACAAATATAACCTTAATGTCTACGTTTGAAAAAGGTCTGGCATTCAGTTCACACAAACCAATGATCATATTGTCTATGACCACACAACATAACAAACTAAAGCCTACTGTCCCTATCACCATACCATGACATGAGAAGCTGAGTAGTGTGCATGGGAAGGGAAGTAACTGTACGAAATAAATGGATATTCACACAGATAATGCCAAAATTAGACTGACTGACTGAGTTTGGTTTTACGCCGCTTTTAGCAATATTCCAGCAACATCACGGCGGGGGACACCAGAAATGGGCTTCACACATTGTGCCCATGTGGGGATTCGAACCTGGGTCTTCGGCATGACAAGCCAACGCTTTAACCATTAGGCTACCCCACCGCCCCGCCAAAATTAGAACATTAGAATCGAAAGAGTAGTGATGTTAATATGTTTATAATACTATTACAGAATTAGCAGATGAGTTATAAATATTGACAAAAAGAATAATTTAAAGGGGCACTGATCCAAAGCGATTAATTTTTCACAGTCTAATTACGAAACCAAGCTGCAAGCTGATCGGTACCTGCTCCCTCGACCGTGATGGACACAGGGACAGGGCTACTGTCCATCTTGGCAAAATTTCTTCAGCCTAAACAGCGGGACATTAGGAAGGGTGCCACATCACATGCCATCACATGATATTTTATACCTGACTCATGATCTTTTGCTTAGCTCCCTCTTCTATGCGAATGTTAGTGGAACACTTGAATCCTTTGTAGTTCCCCAAAGCGGACGTAAAAGTACACTCACCCACGAGTTACCTCCTTCTCCCGCGCAAACAGTCATGTGACCCGCCTTACTTGTCACTCTCTCCTGATTTTCTGTCCATGCACTTGGATCTACTGTGAAATCCGAAGTGTTTCCAGCGGGGAGGTTGGGAGGGCTTGTCCTCATGAGTCAGGATAAGTATAAAATATCAATTTTACTTTAAAAATTACATATTATTCCTTAGCCTGACTCATGATCTTTAGCTTAAAGAATCCTTCGGATTGGTGGTGGGTCAAGCCACTTCCTGGATTTATCACCTGTCCTTAGATACGTCCGTCGACTATCTGGCATGAAATACACGTGCTGCCTGCAGGCACAAGGGGTCATCTCAAAGATATTTTGTGCTTTTTCATGTGTGTTGACTATGTCTCATCTAGTGATTAACATCTTTTGTGTCTTTCTTTTAAAAAGTTTAAGTTGAGATATGTAAAAGAATATGATACCCGAAAACCATAGAAACGCATCGTAGTATATAGGAGGCATGACCACTCGAAGATCGACAGGACTGGATATTATTTGTAAATTGTTATGACGTGCCGTGTACCTCCCCAGTATCATTGCCCTAAAGGATTATCTTATCTTACCTGATATCTCTATCCAGCCCGACCCCAGGTTTTGCTTTTGAGACGACCCCTCCTATCTGTTTCTTTTTATAGTGACAGTGAGACTCCATGGCAGCTACATCCTTAATTGTTTCAGCATAAAAGTTATTATTTTTTACGTCAGCTATCGTTTATAATGAATCTACGTCTAATTTCAAACTGGACATTTAAAAAGTGTCCTTTGTAATACAATATCATCACACACTAATTTGCATAAAGCCATGGTCTGTTCCAAATAAGTCAATTTGAACTTAGAAATAAACCGCATTGCTAATTTTTGCCCTAATTTCCCCTCAGTATAGTCATTTTTCTCCGTTTCCTATCTCTCTACCACTGAGACTGCAGTTAGGCCGAACTTAGTTTAACAGATATTTCACACTTTCACATATCAACTACATAAAATTGTAGAGATAAATGAGAACATATAGTTTTTTTCTATTTCCGACAGTACTATAGTATCTTCTTACTACTAGTTATCTATAACAACCCATAGATTATGATAAGATCTTTATCATAAATGAGTTGCGACCCCTTAGCATACAGGTAAGATCTTTACCAGTACAGAGTCTTAATCACTCATGCTAGCCTAGTCTACACTGTGCGCATGGACTTTCAAACTAGAATTTTTTCCATAGTAAAATTTATCAACAACTCAGCGCCTTTGAGGAACCGTTAGTTGTTGTGCTACAACAAGAGGCCCAAACTGGTGAATGCCGGAGACGTCTTCAGTGGCTATGTATCGGAGGTAGTGGTTGGCAAACACCGTATCCGACTTCCATAAGCAGCCCTCCACAAGTGATGACATAGAGCAATTTCCATGCAGAGCGAGTGTTGACGCCAGTGCTCTGACTTCGTGTGGGTTGGAAGCTCTTGGAGGTTCTAATCCTGCTGCTTTATAGGCTCTTAGTATAACGGCTCTCATCCAAAACGATATTGTCATTCTTGAGACTTCCACTGATGTCTCCGTCAACAAGGGGATGAATAGGCGCTTGAATTTTCTTCTTGTTTTAGTCTTTTGAAGATATATCTTCAGGGCTCTGACAGGACACATGGATAAGTCCTCGGTGTCCTCTGGACCGAGGATCGTACATAGCGCTGGGACATGGAACTGTCTGTCCGGTTGGCCAGGTAACTGATTCTTTGCAATGAAGTCCCCTCTAAGTCCTAGATGTACTGCGTGTGCTGATGTACAAGCAGGTTCAGCCACTCTGGTAGTTTCAGGGTTGGACTTCCGAGTTCTTGTATTAGATCTGGGAACCAGACTCACGCTGGCCAGTAGAGTGCGACCAAAGTCAGTTGTAGCATTGGGTCTACTTGATCTTTAATAGTACTCGAGGTAGTAGAACCGGAGGTGGGAACACGTATGCGTTTAGTCCTTCCCACTACAAGCTCAGTGCGACTGTTGCCCAGGCTTGAGGATCTGGTACTGGTGAGATGAATGTCTGTATTTGTTTGTTGAACCTTGTGGCGAACATGTCTATGAAGGGAGATCCTATTTTCATTAAGATGAGCCAGAACACCTCTGGGAGGGGCATCCATTCCATGGGTGACGGATGAAGTGGTCAAGATAACAGCTTTCATCTCTAACTGGTTGATGTAAAGATGTTGTTCTTGTTTCGACCACTTCCCTGGTGCCACTTCGCTGTCGAGATGTGCTCCCCATCCTTGTAGTAAGGCATCTACGTAGAGGTGGACTTGATCATCATGACTTCTCTGGAATCATGTGTGACTTCCTTGGCAACTACGTCGATCTCCCCGCCGAAGACAATAGGCGCCGCCCAAGGAGATCTAGTAGAGGTTGGGTGAACCTGTCATTCGAGGAACATGTCGACCTTGTCTTCATAGTAGGGTGAGACCCGTCGACACCGAGGCCAGGTGATCAGACATGAAGTGCTGGTCCTTCTTCTGAGTTAACAGTGCTGATAGCATTCTTCTTGTCTTCTACCTTATAAGACTTGTTACGGGAGTCGTTGATCAACTTCAAGTTGTCATCCAGGTTCGGCGCTTCTCATGAAGGGGTCCATGTGATGCAGAGGGAACCTCTTTGCGTTGAACGTTGGTACATGTTGATTCTGGTACCGGTGTAACAGGCCAAACTTCCCCCCTGGCCAAACCTTCCCTGGGGAAACTTTAGCCTAGGCCAAACTTTCCCCCCCTAGGCTTAATCTTTCCCGGGTAAAGTTTGTCCTAGGCCTTGAATCAACATAAAGGCTACTTGTTTCTCACCCTTGTTCTTATATCAAAAGGGGGAGATTCTGGCCTAGCAAGGCTATTTCTTCCCCAACCTTGTTTTCATGTTTAGGTTCGTCTTGAAAAAGTCAGTAACGAAAACAAGACATGTGAACACATTGTTAAGATATTCATGTTGATGTCAAGTTCCATTAACAATTTACAGGTCATCTTCATCTTCATATATAACATGTACATAGTTCCAGTTTTGTTTCAAGGGCGGTGGGGTAGCCTAGTGGTTAAAGCGTTGGCTCGTCACGCCGAAGATCCGGGTTTGAATCCCCACATGGGTACAATGTGTGAAGCCCATTTCTGGTGTTCCCCTGCCGTGATGTTGCTGGAATATTGCTAAAAGCGGCGTAAAACCAAACTCAGTCAGTCCAGTTTTGTTTCAATACCCTTCTATACTCACGTCTCCTATTCTCGCGGGTTTCCTATTCTCGCGGTAAACACGTTTTCTGCCGAAATCGCTGATACACGCGACACCTAGCGGTTGTTTACCTTGCCGACCGGTAACTAGGAAGTGGCCCAAGTCTGCGAGTGATCAAAATCTTGCAATGTCAGGAATATTGGTGAGTTTAAAAGAAAAGAACCATAACACCTTGTTTGTTATATGCCAGGGGTCAATAATATTTACTCTGTCACGATGTTGCATCTCTATCTACAAAAACATTCAGTCTCCAGTAAAAACATCGTCTGCTACATTACGACCTATTGACACATAGAAATCACATGATTGTCACATGACTTCATTTTCGCAGGCTGTAAAAAGTATGGAAACATTTAAAGGCCATATAATGGAAGTGGGCGCAATCACCGT